CGTTTTCCAACATTGCAATATCCTTTTTCAGGTGAGAACTGTACATGGTACAGTGGTACCTCTGGTTACCTGCTTAATTCATTCCAGAGGTCCATTCTTAACCTGAAACTGTTCTTAACCTGAAGCAACACTTTAGCTAATGGGGCTGCCACACCACCACCGCCGCGCGATTTCTGTTCTCATCCTGAAGCAAAGTTCTTAACCCGAGGTACTATTTCTGGGTTAGCGGAGTCTGTAACCTGAAGCGTATGTAACCTGAAGCGTGTGTAACCCGAGGTACTACTGTATTCCAAATGCACTTGCAGCATAGATTTGTATAATGGCAATAAAATTATTACTGATAGGAAGCCTGCATGTCAGTAAAAAGGCTAACCTGAAACCTCTCTCCCTGTCACCTCGATTCCCAAGAAGCAGCACTCTGCATGGTGATGACACCAACACCTTCAGCCTGGAGGCAAAGAGACAAAAGGTCCAACTCCCTAACCATTGGCTAGAATTAGGCCCAGGGCCTGCCTCTCTGCCACCCAACTCAAGTATGGCCTTAATTTCACTACTGTTTGAAGAGGAAAAACAAGGCAATAATGAACACATAGTGAGCTCTCAGCAGTAGTTTGTTCCCAAGCAGGCACTTTATCCTGTTTAGCCAACACAGTTCTGGTACACAACACACACACACACACACACAGCAAGGAGATCACAGCAAGAGAGCAAAACTCTCAGAGGAGCATGTGTGACTGATCATTTTCTCTGCCTTTCCCGTAAGGTAGATGGGGTGGGGAACCCTCGGGCCAAACAGGCAAACTAAGTACATGCTTAAGGCACCAGCAAGGCAAGGGCAGGCACACAATGAGGGTTTTTCCAATGACATTTGGTATTTCAAGAAAAACATCAAAGTAGTCACAGTAGGAGAAATCAGAGCTTGTTAGACTTCCTTACCCTCCACTCCACACTCTTCCTCCATTTTTATGTTCCTTAGGTGCATTTTATGTTCTTGGGTTATTACTTAATCCCCACCTAAACCAGGGCACGTCCTACAAACGTATGTCAAAATAATGTGAGGCAATCAGATCCAGTGATTGATTGATTTTAAAGTTTAGTATTGTTTTTGTTTCAAATTACAGAAGGGAAGTACCATAATCTTTTCAGTGCTTAGGGGTCTCTAAAGTTCTTAATCTGGCCCTGCCCCTCTCCAAGGCACATACCCCTTCCTGCTCCCACACCTTGCAGGCAAAGGGCGTTCTCTGTAGTGGCACTTTCCCTATGGAATGCCCTCCCATCAGATGTCAAACAGATAAACAACTATTTGACTTTCAGAAGACATCTGAAAGCAGTTCAGGGAAGTTTTTAATGGTTGACATTTTATTGTGTTTTTAATATTTTGTTGGGAGCCACCTAGAATGCCTGGGGCATATATCGGTGGCATATTACATACATACATACATACATACATACATACATACATACCCTGTTCCATTGCTCTCCTCCAGTGCTTTTGCTTGTCTGGAAGTGTGTCCTTGAACTGCAATAATACCTCTTGCTTGCCTGCATGGAATTGGATTTTTGCATGGCTGGAAAGTAATCTACCACACAATCCTAAGAGTTAGCTCTGTAACTCCACCAACTTTTGCCTCTGGAGGTCCCACTCACCACTGGCATGTGTCCCCACCCAAAGGTTCCTCATGAGCCAATGCAGCCACTGGATCATAAAAGGCCCCTCACCTCTGTCCATGAGAGCATCCTATTGCTGAATCAGGTTTCTTCAGAACACAAAAGCCATTCAACATTGGGAGACACTTACCCACAGATTTATCAGAAAACCTTAACCTTGAAGGCCTGCTAAAGTCAGAGGCAGCCTTCCCTGATCTGCTGCCTTCCAGATGTGTTGGACTACAACTTTCATCCCAGCCAACATAGCTAATGCTGGCTAGGGCTGATGGGAGTTGTAGTCCCAGCCTATCAGGAAGGCTGCTCTAGAGCAATCCTTTGTGCAAGAGTCTTTCACATGAGATAGTTTATATAAGCCAGGTTTGGGGAACCTCTGGCCCTCCAGATACTGCTGAATCACAATTCCCATAATTCCTCATTGTTGGGCCCTGCTGGCTGTAGCAGATGGAGTCCACCAACATCTGGAGGACCACAAGTTCCCCAGCCCTGACACTGGAAGTCAGGTTAAGCTTTTAACTGGGTCAAGCTGGTTGTAATGCAGTAGATTAGAGGTCAAGTTGTAAAGTCCCTGTTTCAAATCTCATCTCCCACCATATCCTCATGTGGTGGCCTCAGTAAGGCACTACCTTCCTGGTCTCAGCCTTCTATCTACAATTGAAGATGGACATAGAAATCTAACAAATAGAACTGGCCTGCCTTGAGAGGCTGCGTCGAGGATTACCTAAAATGACAGGCATGGGATGGGCATATTTCAACATTTGAAATACACCATATAATGCTAACTGCCATTGTCTGTAATAAAACATGTGAACTTAGAATTTTAATCACTTTTCCCCATTTTATAACATGCACTGATCCAAGAAGCCCATTACAAGTAAGAGGCCAAAATGCAGGATCATGTTTCCTCCTCCAGGCTCACACAGAACATTCAGAGCTGATCATGGAAGGGTTCGTTTTTTAATCCTACTTTTTGTCCAAAGAGCTCAAGATGGTATACACAGATATCCTCTCCACCTTTATTTATCACAACAACCCTTTCAATGTAGGTTAGACCAAGGGTTCACCTGGAGAATCTCATGGCCAAATGGGAGCCCCTGGGCATTTCTGGCCCCAAATTCAACATTCTAACCGATACACCAATTGAGCCCACATGGACCATACTTTGTGTGTTGAGGTTCTCCACCAAAAGAGGTCACCAGAGGACACTGTAGATTATATATATATTTGCCTAATGATTAGACACCATGCATTAAAAGCTACATTTAAACACATACTTTTTACAGTCACCCCTCCTACCTTTCACACAGCATCTACTTTATGGGTGGCCTCATAGAAGAGGGTGCACATTTTCTGAGAAATGCTTTTGGTGTCCAAACCTGGGGTGAGTGAGTAAAAACTTTCAGGTGATTTTGCCCTCTCCACTGAAGCTTAGTTAATTCTGCAGGCTCAGACCAGTTTAAGACACATCCCCAAAAACCATGGCTACCAAGCCACCCATTAGAGCCACCTGAAGCTGTCTTTGTGCTATTCATTTATGTTCTTCACCCCTAATCCCCATTATTCCTTGACCATTTCAGGAGCCCCTAAGCATGCCTTGAAAACACACAAACTACTATCTATCCATGCACATGCACCCAACCTTGCTCTTTCCAAATCAAATATGCACCAGAAATCTCAGTCACAACATTTATCTTCCTCTTAAAGCACCACCCTGAGAACAGGAGAGCTCCAGGGAGGAAGGCACAAACGACGCCATGGAGAGGAAGAGGAGCAGTTCAACAAATTTTGGAGGAGAGAATCCTCCCAGTACAAGGTACAGATCATTTCCTGCTCCTGTCAGCATCACATGGATGATCTGCCGGCTAGTTATTTAATCATCTTCAAATGAGGTCCTCTGTTTCCTGCGGAACAACTTACGTAGTAAGCATGAGGAAGGCAGAGCGTATCTGTAGCTTAGTCCTGAGAGCACCTCATAGCCAGGGCCTTGTCAGAAGCCAGTAGAGGCAGGTACACAGTAGGCAATTCAGTCAAAATAGTGCCTCGCCATTTTTTATTGGCTTTGTTATTTTTGGAGAGAGAGAGAGAGAGAGAGAGAGATGACGAGGGCTGGCTTTTTGCCCACTCCCTATCTCTACTCAGAAAAATGCCTGCGGCAATTCACCATAACCAGCAGCCTTTGGCTTGCTCTAGGTGAGCATCAGCCTTGGATTCAACACACTCAAGCATCTTTTTCCAAAAAAAACAAACGCTTCGTGAAAAACACTGTTCTTTGTAAATGCAGCCACACTGTCCCTTCGGGAAAGCCAGCTCAATAAAATTTACCTTGGCACAGGGATACAGTGAAAACAACAACCCTCTCAAATACCTCTACCCAGTTCTGCTAATAGGGGTCTTTCTTTCTTAGTAACTCAGGTCTTATGCAATGTATTATAAATTCTAAACTGCACATTTCCCCCTCTTTTTAAAGAGATGCTGTCCAATTACTGACTCCATGCAAGGCCTAAATAATACTACAATTGTGAAGGTCAAAGCTAAAGTTCCATATATAATTTGGGTTTTTTTCTACACTGGGGAGTGGTGGGGGAAGACAAAGATTCCCTGAGGTATCTCAACATTCTAGCTAGACTGCACCAAATCAAGTTGAAGTAAAAAGCCAAGGGCTTTCTGCACTGCAAACTTTATGGGTGATCTTTATGGACCCCTGTAGGAATCTCCTTTAGTCCTTAAAATGTCACCCAGATTTCTGTGGGCCACAACCCCCAAGGTAAGCATGCATCTTACATGTGTGCTTTGCATTTGCTACACAAAGGCACCATGAATAAATGACAAATTTATCCCTATGCATCCAATTATCCCTTTACTTAATAGCACTCAAACGAGGGGGGGAGGGGAGAGCATGAAAGGAAACAATTCACCCCCTTAATATATGCACCAATGCAGCCTGCCATATTACATAATATTGTTGCCAATGGGGGGGGGGGAGTTTTCCAACTTATATACGGTTAACCCTGTTAGCTGGTTCTATTTATTTGCATTTGTAGAAACTGGAGTTCCAAACCATTTTTTTTAATTGTTAATTAAAACGCAGAATAGGCAGTAGCCACCAATGCTACCATTTATTAATTTGCCTTGACACAACATTCTAGTCCTTTTAATAAGCAAAGGTGGCACCCATGTAAAGCGGCACGTTTTCTTGAAAGGAGTCAGAATGGAAATTGTGTATGTGAACATTCAAAGAAGGGTTAAGAATCTGCTTCCATTCATTTGTGGAGATGTTAAGAGAGGAGGAGGGGGTAGGGGAAGGCGAGGCAAAACTCCCATCAGCTGCATCTTACCTTCTGCCAGAACTTCATCCACAGTCACCTGACACCTCCCAATGTTGAACACCCGGCCTATGTATCCACTCCCAGGCCCAGTGCTACTGCCACTCCCTCCGAGGGTCCCAGAACCGGCCCCAGAGCCACCCTGCTCTCGCCGGGAGTCAAAAAACTTCTTCATGGCTCCAAGAGTGCGCAGCCTAAACACTTTTAGCTTAGCAAGTCCAGTATGACACACAAACACCCCAAATATATATATATAATTGTGTGTTTGCGTGTATATTCTATATATATGTGTGTGTGTGTGTCTATGTACACAGCTCTTGACGTCTTGAAGCAAGACAAAAATTAATCCCTTTGCGGCAAAATATCTTCTTTTTCCTTAGAGGTCATATGCTTTGTTCCCTCTCGCCCACTCCAGGAAGGCAGAGCTTGGGTGTTATTCAGACCTGTTGGGAGGAAGAGACAGAATTAGAGGCTTTTGCCATTTGCTCCAACTGTCTAATAATATTAAAAACAGCATCACCACCCTCTCTGGAGAGAAATATCTCCCTCAGGCGGGGCGGGGAGGAATCCCTTACTCGCACCCCCCCCCTTGAAAAAGCATCCCTTCTTTCTACTCTTGAGGTGCCCGCAAAGAAAATAGGGGGGTCCCTTTGCCCGGGGAAAGGGTACGCGTCGTGATGATGACGGCCCCCTTCTCTCCCCCGCCAAGAGTGGTGGGGAGGGGAGAGCCTACTTTTGGGACCCACCGCCCCAGCAAGGCAGGAGAGGGGGTGCCCAGCTGATGCCCTACCGCTACCGCTGCATGAGCCGGGGGGGGGGAGAGAGAGAGAGAGAGAGAGAGAGAGAGAGAGAGAGACCCGGCCTGGCCACACTGTTACCATGTCCGCTTCCGCTGCGGGCGCCGCTCCGGCCCTGCAGCATCGCTACAAAGTGGCAGCCGGAGGAGCGCCGCCGGCCGGGCTGAGCAGGAGGGGGAGCCGCTGCGGAGGAGGAGGAGGAGGAGGTGGAAGAGCGTCAAGGGAGGCTGGGGCTGGCCGGGGGGAGACCATGCCGAGCCTTCCTCCGCTCGCGGCCCCCGCCGACCAGGAAATGAACTGCCACAGGAAGTCCCAGTTCCAGAAAAGCTGGGGGGGGGGGGAGAAAGGGAGGGAGTCGGCGGGCGAGAGGGAGGAGGGCGGAAGAGGGAGGAGGAATCCTCAACGCACCGCCCCTCCCTTTTAACCCCTTCCCAGCCAGGGAAGCCAGGCAAGCACGCAGCCCTCCCCCTCTGTCCTCAAACAGAAGCGACGGGTCCGTGAAATAATTCCACCAACAAAACTAGAGGGGATTTTATTTTTTGTTAAGGGGACTTCACATTTACTTCCTCCCTTCCTCCTCCTCGCCCCCCCCCCGTATAAATTGCAACAGACGTTCTGGCCGCGTTGCCTTCTGGGAAGGGTAGTTTTTCCTCCCTGCCTGCGGGATCTCTGGCAACCTCGTCGAGTCGCAGGACTACAAGTCCCAGGTGACGCCTGGCGGAGGGTTGTTGGGTGGGAGCTTGTGAGTAATGGATTTACTGTATTAATTTATCGCTCTCTGTCACACTCACACAGAGGAGTGCATGAAGTACATGTTTGTTTGTTTTTTTAAATCCTTCCTTCCTGCTCCCTTCCTATAAATTCTAATTGTTATTGATACAAAATACTTTTTACTTATGGCCACCAATCTAAGCAATGCATATGCATATGAAGTCATATGCTGTAATAAGTGTAATAAATTTACTATATACACTTTGACACAGCTTTGTTAATATATTCAGAACCGTTTATCTGTTTATTGTTGTTTTATTTTTTATTTATATAATCGTTGCATGTTACAAAACACACACTGTTACAAAACACACACACACACACACACACACACAAAACTGTACATCTTTTGTACAGCACCTGATACATCAACAGTTTTTAGATAGTAATTCGTTCAGGCAGGGATCCGTTTACCCCAAACTCATGATTGATTGGGATTAGCAAATTGCCCAAAATTCATTGTCGATCAGGACGGTGAATGGATTTGATTAACAGTATTAGTAGTAAAATTAAAAATGGTTTAAGGTATCAGATCCATGTCCGAGGAAGAACACTGTTGGTGTTGACAAAGTTATATTGATATTAAACAAATTCTAGGAGAAATAAAACCGTTATATTAGATGCCCATCTGAGCAAGACCGTTGTATGCCTCTAAAATCTTTCCGGTTTGACCACCACCCACCTCAGTTCCTTACTATTTTATACAGTGGTATCTCTGGATGCGAACGGGATCCGTTCCGGAACCCTGTTCGCATCCTGAAGCGAACGCAAGGCGCGTCTGCAGGTCGTGATTCGCTGCTTCTGTGCATGTGTGTGACGTCATTTTGAGCATCTGCGCATGCACAAGCAGTGAAACCTGGAAGTAATGCGCTCTGTTACTTCCGGGTTGCCACGGAGCGTAACCTGAAAACGCTCAATCTGAACCACATTTAACCCGAGGTATGACTGTACAGCCATTGAATGCTGTGACAAAACATCTGGAGGGCACCATAGGAATCACTTCCAATGCTGTGATCCTCAACTCTTAACATTTCTATACTGTAAATAGGACTATCAGTGTGGATTAGCCAGACTGATGAGTCAGTTTGTGGGATTTTAACAACATTGTTGTCTACATTTGAGAACATCTCCAGTATTGTAGACAATACTGAGGTAGGTGAACCAGTGGTCTGACTCTGTGTATGGCAGCTTCCCATGTTCCTATCTGCTGGAGTTAAGTTGTACGTGCAACCTTATTCTGTAGTGGACTTTGGGCTTTCAAATTTCAGTGGCAACCTGTGCAATGCACTGCCTTCCCCCACCCCACCTCACCTCTCACCTTCCATTCTAAGTCAATGTTGCAGCACCCTCTCAACTCAGTGCGGGAGAACCGGTTGCGCTCCCCTAAATCCACCTTTGACCTCATTCCAAATAAACCACATCCCAGGCTAAGTGCCACACGCCTTGAAACCTCACTGCTTGGAGAACTGGGGTGCCCATAACAATAGCATGGTGAACAGCTGTTCACATTATCTTATCCTTTAAAAGAAGATGTAAAGGAGCAACACAGAACCCCCTTCTTTGATAGCAGCAGGATGCACCACCCACTCTCTAGCTGATCCAGCAAGCTGCCATTGCTGTGGCAGGAGGCAAGGAAGAGACATCCACACAAAAGCACTCTAGATGTATAAGAAGGTGTGAGAGTCTGGAAGGTTGAAGGAATGAGAGAGAGAGATGAAATGGGAGAATGCATTGCCAGGGGTTGGACTAGATAACCCCTTGGGTCCCTTCCAACTCTACAGAGAACAATAGAGGACAGGAAAAGCTACACTCCATTTTTGGAACCTGACAGGCAAGGAGAAGAGAATTCACTAGTGTGCAACTGTCATTACTCTGGAATACAGTGGTACCTCTGGTTATGGATTTAATTCGTTTTGGGGTGCCATACACCCCCCAAAAAACCTAACTAGAGGCGCCGCTTCTGCACACAGCGCAATAGAGCGCTTCTGCACACACACACACGGCACAATAGAGAGCGCTTCTGCGCATGCGTGAGTGGCGAATACACTTCTGGGTTTGCCGGGTGTGCCACAGCCATAACCCAAAGATTCCGTACCCTGGAGGTTATGCAACATTGTACCACTGTACCTTGTTTCCACCAGCAGGATTACACTGGTGCCACTTCCAAATGCTACTCTGCTGGTGTAACTGTGGCACAGGATTGTGCCTTAAATGGAGACATTGGGCTTGTATCCAGCTAAGTCCAAACTCAGAGCAGACCCATTGAAATTAAAAATTTTAAATTAGGTGTTCCATTAACTTCAATGGTCTACTCTGAGTAGCACTAGCATTTACTACAACCCTTCATTTTCCTGTTTTTAAAAGAAAAACACCAGCCAATTGATATTCATTCCAGAAATACAGGCTACTATAATATGGAGATTTTCTGCAGTGGGAAGATGGATTTTTCTGGTCAAACAAAACTTTTTCCATATTGAAACAAAAACATTGCACAAATGTTGTTTCCAACGCTTGCATATAAAATATAGTATGATACTTGAGAGAGAACCAACTGTTCCACATCAAGAACTCTGATTATATAGCTGATTAGTTAACACCTTATTAGTATGGGCTGTAGGTTTACAAACAACTTGTTCCTGGTTTCATATTGAACAGAATGAGATGGGTTGAAGGACTAGAGGCATCATTTCGTATGGCAATTAAGAAGAAAAAACCTCAAACAATTAAGAATCACCTGTAATTAACATTAAACATTGAGTGCCGTGTCCTGTGACTCATATCCAAACTGCAAACATTTATTTATTTACAGTACATATAGTCCCCTCCTCACTGAATGTTTTAAATTCCAGAGCAGAGAACAAAGTAATAAAAACAGAGAAAAATAATACACAAAAATTACAGAATCATATAAATAGGTAAAGGTAAAGGTACCCCTGCCCGTACGGGCCAGTCTTGACAGACTCTGGGGTTGTGCGCCCATCTCACTCAAGAGGCTGGGGGCCAGCGCTGTCCGCAAACACTTCCGGGTCACGTGGCCAGCCTGACAAAGCTGCATCTGGCGAGCCAGCGCAGCACACGGAACGCCATTTACCTTCCCGCTGGTAAGCGGTCCCTATTTATCTACTTGCACCCGGTGGTGCTTTTGAACTGCTAGGTTGGCAGGCGCTGGGACCGAGCAGTGGGAGCGCACCCCGCCGCGGGGATTCGAACCGCCGACCTTTCGATCGGCAAGCCCTAGGCCCTGAGGCTTTTACCCACAGCGCCACCCGCGTCCCATATAAACAGGACTAATAAGCAATTAAACAATTCTATCATAAGGTAAACAAGAAAAATTACAATAACATACATTAATATTTCCAATTTAACAAATGTTGAAGAGTGGTTCCTCAGCTATTCGGCCACAGCAGCAGTCAGGAGTCAACCACATCACAAGGCATTTTTCTTACCTGCCCTGTCACAAGACAGCAGCAGCAAGCAGCACAGGGTGTGCAAGAGGAAGCTTGGGGGGCAAGATACTTTGCATTTAACATGCAAGCTTCAGAGGGTCAAATCCCATGCTAGGAGAGGCAAAGCCCATCCAGCCATAGCTGAACCAATTGGAATGAGTGCTGTATTGACCAGCGGCCTGGCTCCTACAGGGCATCTCCAGGTAAGAGGTGGTCATGGACAACTGTTTCTTGTCAGAGGGAGGGGGGCCATTGGTCTGGCTCTCTATAAGGAAGCCTTTTCTACCCCCTGGTGTCTTTTGAAAAAGGATTGGGGAATGGTTCTTATGATGAATTATTAGTTGATTAAAAAACGAATTGAGGCAGGAGAGCCAGTGTGGTGTAACGGTTAGAGCATTGGACTATGAGCTGGAAGACCAGGGTTCAAATCCCCACTCAGCTACATGAAGCTCACTGAGTGACTTTGGGGCTGTCTGTCTAACCTACCTCACAGGGTTGTTGTGAGGACAAAATTGGGATGGGAGAACCATGTACACCACATTGAGTTCCTTGGAAAAAAGGTGGTGTTTAAATGTTTTAAATCACTTCGGCATCCATCCTCCCTCTGAGCACCTGGAGAGGTCTGCCTCCCCACAGTCCAGGTAACCTGCATGAGCAACAGATGAGGGCCCATCATGTTTCTGAACCCATCAAGCTCCCCACCCACGTGTCAGAATCTCACCCTGAAGGCAGGTGGAGACAGAGCAGTGAGGTTCCTCCCTAGTAAGAAATATACAGTGGTACCTTGGGTTACAGATGCTTCAGGTTACAGATGCTACAGGTTACAGACTCTGCTAACCCAGAAATAGTACCTCAGGTTAAGAACTTTGCTTCAGGATGAGAAAAGAAATCGTGCTCTGGTGGCGCGGCGGCAGCAGGAGGCCCCATTAGCTAAAGTGGAGCTTCAGGTTGAGAACAGTTTCAGGTTAAGAACAGACCTCCAGAATGAATTAAGTTCTTAACCTGAGGTACCACTGTAAAACACACACATAGCAAGAGTGAAGTCTTTATTGCAGGGCATGTGGGAAAATCACGTTCTTTCCCTTTAAAACGGGATTATACAAATTAAT